GAGTGGGACTGTCCCTATAGTTGGGTGTCTGGTTACAGAAAAGCGGAAACAGTCTCATTTCCCCGTTTTTATCACAGAAAACGATTATTTTTAAAAACTCTGGCCAAAGTGGAGATTTCTGTGTAAACTGGGAGAAATGAAAATGCTTCACGTCATGTGAAAGCCCAGATGGCACTTGATTTATGCAGGTTGATGTAAATGTCAACTTTTATTTTCTCTAAATACCCAGTAAATGTGGCCTAGGAAACACCAGCTCAACATCAACGACGACAGACACCAGCACAAGACTCTGTTGATTAGGCTACTAATTAGACTAATTATTAACAAAAAAAAAAACAACAGACACACAGGCGAACCGAATGAACTAGTGAAGACTGAGTGATGGGAAACTGAAAAAAATGAACAGAAGGAAGTCCAAAAGCAAACAGATGTGTAACAGTAGTTGCTTCAGATAAAATTGCCGGCTAATCAAATTGCTATTTTGACCGTGTGAGCGTGTTTTCCTCATACAGTATTATACTTCCGACAGTGGTCGTCTGTTCCGGATGTGAGAATATGTGAACGCACCACTGATATGAACATTCACATTAAGACTCTATTGCTGTTCACAGCCTTTTCTCTAAAGGCCCATGAATAATTCTCACCGCTAGCAGCATCACTATTACATTACGACAGCGCTTTTGGCATATAATGGTGTTTTAGCAACAATAAAGCACATGAATATGCCACTATACACACAGAGCTATTGCTCGTTGATGTTGTTACTACTAATAACTCCTCATTTCAGGACGAACTGTATAATGTAAGTCTATACTGCAGTTGTTTTGCGAATGTCTTTCTGCACTGATTTATGAATGTAAACATGCTGTTATCAGTGTTTATGAATCATCTCAAACTCTTCTTGCCCATGAAAACAGTCTCAATACATCATCTGATTATGATCTGATACAATGGTTCTGAACGGTGTATGGCACCAGCGAAGGTGTTTCAACACCTTTTATTCCTTTTTCTATTTATGAATTAGACAGAATCACACACACACAGATCTTCATGCAAACATGATAAAGTCCTCCCAGAAGCTTTATTTTGTGTGAACTCCTCCTTATCTGCGTCCACTCCCCACACCCACTGTCCCTTCACATGTGTTTCTCTCTCAGCGTTTATTATTTATGACTCATTCTGAGCAATAATGGTATGTGGGTAAATCGGGGAAGTTCACGAGTCTTTGCCAAGATCATTTTCAATGTCCTTCAGTTGTAGAGGTTTCCCAGAGGGAGAAGACCTCTATTCGGCCCATCAATATTGATTCAAACAGTATCAGTCGAATGAGGACAGACACGAGCGCTTGCAGAGGGGGGATGAGTGTCCCCTCCGTTCGTTTTAGTGTTGAGGCGACGCACACCGTTATATTCTCTCTTTGCTGCAGAGGCTTTTTGCAAATATATTTGTATGGCGATCTGTGATTTGCATGATTTGCATGAATAAGTTTGATGAATTTGCAATTTGGTGCCTCTTCTGCTGGAGTCACAGGTGTGTGTGTATGTGTGTTTCAGAAGTGGCAGCGTGTTGTTTTGGCAGGTGATTTGCGGTTTGTTGGATGTCATGTCGTTTTTGAGAAGATGCAGCTTTACAGTAGCCTGGTTCAACCAGACTCTAGTACATTTTATTTATATTATATATTACATATATTTATATTATTTTTATTTATGAGAATTATTTAAAAAAAAAATACAACCAATTTGTATGATTTACAACATGTAAAACTGACACACCAACCTCCTGCATGAGTACACAAGTGGCTCAAAATGTTCTATTCATCACAAGAATCAGTAAATTTACTGTTGGGAATATGAGCTACTGACATGACTCATGAGCGGATCTTCAACAATAGTTTAGCAGCCAGGACTCGGGGCTTCTGAACACCACGAACACCAGGCTAAAACGTCCGCCCAAAATGTAACGGTCATCGTGCACACCAAGCTGCCCAGTACAAACTTCCAACCTATCTGCCTCCTTCACGTGGTCATCCGTTGTGCAAAAAGAGGTGAGACAACATCAGTCCAGCTTTAAATTCTGTATATTCGGCCGTTTCTTTTCCAACAACGGACCGAATAACTTTTCTCATGCCTTACTGAACTCAAACTGACGCACTATCAACGTCATCGTTCTCAACAACTCCCTCTATTCGCTGATTGGTCCTACAAAAAATTGATTTCTGGACCTAAGGATATACAGCAGTCCCAGATAGTGAAAAAATGAAAAAATGAAATTGAGCGGAAGTGCGTAGGAGGGCGCAGCCAGGCTTGCTTTACAGCATTCAGCTTCTGAACTGCTACTTTAAATCGCATTTATATGATGTCAGTGCTTTGGGAATACAGTGCTTTTCAAGTCTTTCAAACCATTTTTACCTTGTTAATCACAAATAAATAAAAAATAATAATTTTTTTCTAAAATATTTCTGATTGTTCTCTGAACGTTCCAAACGTCCAGTTCACGATTTTATAAAAAAAATAAAAATAAATTTCTTCTTTTGAACGTTCCGTTTTTATCATTCTTCAAACATTCAAACATTTCAAACAAATTTGAAGACATATTTTATTAATATTAATAGCCAAAGTTCTGTGGAGGCTTCCTGTTAGTTGGGTAGTTTCATATTTTATTTATGGTTGCAGTATACAGTCAAACCAATAATTATTCAGACCCCAGATATCATTTCTGATATTTTTTTTTGTGTGTGCAGGACACTACAACTGTGACATATTATACCTAAATATTCTCCATGAGCTGATAATGTTTTCTTCAGTGTGTTTTCTGTAATTGCCAATGCTCTTTTTACACAAACACTGAACAACACGAAGCATTGATTGGCCATTGAGCTAAACTAGTATTATCTAATTGAGTAGATAAATTTATTCATTTAGCTGACTGATTTTAGTAAAACCAGTTTTATCCAAAGTGACTTACAATTGCTGTATGTGTCAGAGGTCGTACGCCTCTGGAGCAACTAGGGGTTAAGTGTCTTGCTCAGGGACACATTGGTGTCTCTCAGTGGATTTGAACCCGGGTCTCTCACACCAAAGGAATGTGTCTTATCCACTGCGCCAATTCATGTGTCTAACAGAAGGATGGACAAAACCAGTCAAATATCCCCTGATCTGAGTTTATATTATTATATATTTATTACCATTTTCTAAACTATAGTGAATAAACTGTGATAATGTGAGATATGTTGAAGGTGTCTGAATAAACCTCGGTTTGACTGTATCTATGACAGAAGGATTTTAAACAAACCAATTTTTGTATTCCTCACATTGCAGATTATAGTTTATAACCCTCACCCATATCTGCATGTGCAGCACAAGATGAATTTTAAGTTTAGACTCTCAGTTTCTGATGTAGCAGGAATCGAGACAGGAAGAAGCTAATACAGGAAGTCATCACTTTACAACAACAACTGAGAGGACGTAATCATCCCATCACGTCTACTTCTTTCACTTCCATGTTGATTTCATTTCTAATATATATTTATGTGGAAAGTTGGCTGTTGTGTGGTTCCTCTTTATTAAATTAATGCCATTCTGAGTCCTGGAAACACCGATTTCTAGTGCTGGAAACAATAACATAGAGTGCAACTGGATTCGGTTTCATTAACATTATACTCAGGTCACTTATTGGGGATATAACAATATTTCGATGAATATTAATGAGCTTCAATTCAACACAACACAATGTACAACTCTTAAAGCATAGGACCTTGAAATGACATGTATTAAGTTTTACAAATACGTGATGGAGGAATGAGTCTGACAAGCTATCTTTGAGAAACAGAAACCGATTTCTTAAAACTTGGATCATATTATCAGTTAATTCTTTCACCACATCACACACTGCGCCAAGTGCAAGACTGCCTCATTTCCATAATCAAATCAACACTAAACACAGGGATGAAACCACATCTCGGCTTTTCAGCCACAATCAGCCTTAATTACACAGCCGCCTAACTCAATCACCCAAAAACACATGCTTCTGCAAACCTCACTGATTTAAAAGCCCAAAACACCAATTACAATGTGTGCAGACAAATGGCCGTTCCACCCAGGGCTTTATTTTCAAGGTCTGACTGATGACAGTCACGACCTGAACCGGACAGTAGTAGATCCGACTCGTACATCTGTCTGTTGATGCTTTCACAATATCTGAGGTGACTTATAGATGCATGGATAGACAGGCAGATGAATGATGATTAGATGGATGGATGTATGTATGGATTATGATGGATGGATGGATGGATGGATGGGTGAATGGATGGATGGATGATGATTAGATGGATGAATTGATGGATGGATGATGATTGGATGGATGTATGCTGATTAGATGAATGGATGGATGATGATTAGAAGGATGGATGGATGATGATTGGATGGATGGATGGATGGATGATGATGAAGGATGATGATGATGATGATGATGATGATGATGATGATGATGATAATTAGATGGATGGATGGATGGATGGATGGATGATGATTAGATGGATGGAGGGATGGATAGATGATGATTAGAAGGACGGATGGATGATGATTGGATGGATGGATTATTAGATGGATGGATGATGATTAGATGATGGATTATTAGATGAATGGGTGGATGATGATTAGATGGATGGATGGTGATGATTAGATGGATGGATGATGGTGATAGATAGATAGATAGATAGATAGATAGATAGATAGATAGATGGATGGATGGACGATTAGATGGATGGATTGTTACTAATAAAAAGAGGGTGGTGATGGCGCAGTGGATAAGACCCTTTGGTGTGAGAGACCCCGGGTTCGAATCCACTGTGAGACACCAATGTGTCCCTGAGCAAGACACTTAATCCCTAGTTGCTCCAGAGGCGTGCAACCCCTGACATACATAGCAATTGTAAGTTGCTTTGGATAAAAGCGTCAGCTAAATGAGTAAAAATGTAAAAAAAAAAATGTAAATGTAAAAATATTAAGACTAGATGTTTATTTGGTAATGACACATTTAAGCAAACCCTACTCTATATTTCTGACAGAGTCTCAGACGTGTTCTCTCTGCTCTTCAGCTCTGTGAACCTGTGAAACATCTAATCCAATTTCAAGGTCCTTTTTCATCAAGAACTAATGACAATCTTCTGTCTCCAGTGATCACAGCGGCATCTAATGGGGATTCATCGATTTGGCACCGCTCAAGAGACAACTTTATTATGAATCTCAGTAAATCAATGCAGAAGAAATGGATAGAATTAGATCCCACCGTTAACTGATATAAAATTCATAGAAAATTAGGTAAGCTGTGTGCGTGTCTGTGTGTGTGTGTGTGTGTGTGTGTGTGAGAGAGAGAGAGAAGAGAGAGAGAGAGAGAGAGACAGAGAGAGATGGAGTATTTGGGGAAATAATTTATTTTTCTTTTCTTTTTTCATTTATTTAAAAAACGACAGGAGGTAAAAAAAATTCTTTCCAAATATTTGCATTTGCCTTAAGCCAGGAAAATGTCCCTGATTTACGAGCAAAACTTCTCCTGCAGGTGCAGAACAGCAAACAGCCGTGTCTATGGCAACATGCTGAGTTATGAAAGAAATCGCTCACCTTTGTGGAGGATACAACAACAACAACACAGCTGGCTCAGAGGGTAAGCACACACACACACACACACACACACACAGGTCATCCAAACATACACACCTGCCAAGACTAAACTTCAATTACTGTATCCTCTCAGCTCGTTTTTAGCTTGTATGTGTGTGTGTGTGTTCTCCTAAGCCCTGCTGTTGTGCTGGTAATTGCTGTGTGGTTTGAGAAACTGAAGGTCCAGGTGAAAAGCACTGCAGCCTCTTCACACCTGCGGTCCATCTCGCTGTAATAAGAAATTCGCTGCTTCACTCGTGTATAATCGCAGGATCAGAAGAGCCGGTGAGCAGAAATAGAAGCGGCCGCTGGCTTCACTAATCGCTGAGAGTCATGTAATCGCTAGAGAGATGTGATTCCATGGCTTGTGTGGAGCTCTTCTTCTGATGGGACTTTTTCCACTTGTTACTTGATCACTATTATTCTCGTATATGGAGAATATCGTCATTAATGTGTCCGAAATGAACAGTATACTACATTTGATAAACAAACAATCTTAAATAAGCAAGTGTGTGTGTGTTTGTGTGTGTGCGTGTGTGGAACTAAGTGTGAGTGTGAGTGAGTGAGTGAGTGAGTGTGACTGTGTGTGTGTGTGTGTGTGTGCGTACGTATTTTTACGTACGTAACTAACCATTATAAAATACAGTATGTATTAAATAAAGTCTCTTAAATAAATAATATCCACCCGAATGCTACAAGTGCAGTGACATCTAGCAGGGTGATTGTGTGTGTGCGTGTGCATGCGTGTGACAGCTTGTTAACCGAGCCACTAAATCGGGTAAGGTGCTTCATTCAGAGGTTGTTTTAAAGGGTGATTCCTCCAGGGACTCGAGCTGTGTGTGTGTTTCTGGGTTAGAAATCCTGCAGAATGTGAGCGTTTATATATACAGTACTGTGTGTGGGAATGCAGGAGATCTTGATGTTGGAGAATGTTGGATTGGAAATTTGAAAACAAGCCATGTTAGAGACTGCAGAATAGCCCTCTCTTTCTGTTGCTTTAATAGGAGCTTTAATAAGAGGTTCCTCAGATTCATTATTAACCTTCGTCTGCCGGCTCCGATACGGACATTTTCACAAATCAATGTGAGCACCCACAGGATTAAAAACCCTCATAAAGCAGATGGTCAATGAGCTCCAGAACTCTAGCAAACATAATCCTTGCACTAATCAAGGCACTGTTAGCATCAAACCATTAAGACAAATCAAGCAGTGTGAGTCGTTAACAGTGGTTTATTAAAGGGGTCATGAACTGGCTTTTTAAATTTTATTATATTGTTTTCTGAGGTGAACTTATGACATTCGCTTGGTTTTTTGCATTCAAAAACGTAAAAAATGAATAACTAATAAGCTATTTTCTACCCTAGCTTTGAGACCAACTCAGAAACGCACGGATTTTATTGGTTTTTCGCACTGAAGACTTGGAAGTAAACGCCCACTGCTGTGAGTGGATAACAGTTTTGTATATTATAATGAGTTTGTGTACGTGGGGAAAACTGTTTTGAAAACGCCCAATGTTGAAAAATGGCAACCGGAATGATTCGCCCATACATGTTCGACCCAGAGTCTGTGTGTTGCACAATTCCTGTCAGATCCAGGCAGCACAGCACTGTTCTTTACTCCTAATCGGTCTGCAAATCCAGTCTTGTTTACAAAACAATCCTCAGTGAAATTAAGCGAACAGACGTTTTACCCTCATCAGCTGGAACATCATTAAAAATAAAGTTTATCCATGCAGTCCTATTGGAATCCAGAGGAAGCATATGCAGCGACTGTCTTCCTCAACCAGGCACTGCACAATATTGCTCGGTAGCTCGGCCTAGGTTAGCTATGTTTAGCTATGCGTGTAATGCGTGAATCGGTGGGCAGGGCTAAACCGGCCATATTGAAGTAGGAGTTGATCTTCTTCTGCGGGGGTGGTGTTTTAACCTCTTTGACGTCATAGTTCCCCACTTTTAAAAATGAGTCGTTTTCAGTGGCTGGTGTCAATAAAAGCTTTTATTGGACTAACAAGGACGTTTTCAGTTCTGAAACTTACAGGATATTCTTATAATATGCAGTAGCGGAGTGGCAATCGGGAGAGTCGGGACTTTTCCCGGTGGGCCGGTAGTGTTTCGAGGCCGCGAGGGCCGGCCCGGTCTGATAAAATGCATTTATTAGAAGTTCGCCATGGCCCAAGCTAAGGGAAGAAAACATTTTTTTTTTTTTACATTTTCTATAACGGAGCATATATTTGCACTAAGTGCCTGTCTTTACAGCACAACGACACACGTCATGAAACAGCCTCAGTGGCGTAGGTCGTAGGGCGTGAAGTACTGCAAAGCAGTTTTTTGATGCGCTGAACGCGAGTTCGAATCCGCCTTGCCGAACTCTCTCTTCTCCCTTTTCCCAACACAGATATGTAAAGATGTAAAATGTAAAACCAAACATTAAGGTCTCTAGCGTTATATTTTGCCAACGAACTAAAATTGAAACCTTGATATGGCGCTGCGCCATTATAATAACTGACATTAGAATAGCATCCTGTTTGTGCTGCGTGATTACTTTGCTCATCATCATCAGGCTGCTGGTGTTTTCTCCTAAATAAAACCTCCAGGGTTTATTAATTGCAAGTGAAGAAATTAGGACAAAAGTATTTTAACTTTCCTATATTATAGTGTAATGTAGGTTAAAATATACTTTTGAAATACTCATTTTCATTTACATAGTACATTAAGGCTATAAATGGATTTTACAGTACGTCATGGGAATAATTATAAATCATTATTACATTATTATAATAATTGTTTGGCATCCTAAAACACCATTGATAATGTAATACAGACTGAGACTCTCATAACTAAAAAGATGTTTGATCCCTCTTTATTGTCCTAGTACAAATTAATGTTTTTTCTTTGTTCAACGAGCAGTTCATGGGTTGAAGCTCTTAATTCCGATCTCTCAGAGAGCACGAGATTGATGCATTTAACCTTAAAATGTCCAAAATTTTCTTGCGGGGGAGCATGCCCCCGAACCCCCCTAGAGGCAGAGTCCTCCCAACATAGTTTTAGAAATTACTATGGGAAAGAATGACCATTTATGAACTTTACTCCAGCATACTAGTACAACAAAGTTCCTTTTAAATCAGTAAAACTGTAAATGCTATCGGCTATTAAAATCGTGCCGGCGACGAGGGCCGGTGATCTACGAAATTTCCCGGTAGATTTTTTGGTCCCACTCCGCCCCTAATAATATGATAACCTCTTAGATGTCAAAAGCTCAAGGAAAATTTGATTTCTCACTTCATCACCCCTTTAAGTGCATTTGAGCCATTCACACTGCATCAATAATAAGACGGGTACAGATGAATGAGAAACTGTTAAAATTGCTCATTTACTCTATGTCTTACACAATGTCCTAACCATTTTTTGTGATTTTGAGCTCTTCTGATTGGTTGTGATTTTTGGATTGATTTAGTTGTAAATGCAGTGAGCTTACAGATAGACTCCACCCACAAACTCCTCTGATTGGCTGTGATTTTTGGATCGATTTAGTTGTGAGTGCAGTGTGTCTTGTATTCATGTCGCATCTGGTGTGGACATACAAAATGCTTGTCGCTTGAATCTTATTGCATTTGGGTATATTAAACATAAAAATGTTGCACATATTGATACCTCAAATCATTCAGAAATGTGTGCTATTACATTTTTTACGTGATCAGAATGATGAAACAAGTATACAATCTCTTATATTAAAGCAACAATCTCGTGACCAGACTATCACAGACTCTTTTGACTTCAGCTTAAGCTGTAGTTGCTAACTGTGAATACGCTGTCATGTGTGATGAGATTCTCAGAAATGCTATGCAACACTCTCATCTCATTTCAACAGATTGACATTGACCAGCTCATCCAAACCACCTGAACCGCAGAGCTTCAGCCTGACAACGAGCGGTGAATAAATTGGGCTAAACTGACGTCCAAAGTTTGACCAATGAGTATCACTTGTAATACATCATCTTTGTCATAGCCAAGGGCTCCAATCAGCATCTAGACAGTAAACAGAGAGTAAGTGTGGATGGAGGAGGAGGGGTGGACAAACCTCAGGGAAAAAGTGTAATTTTGATCAGACGCTCACTTTTAAACGCCTCCTCGGGGACATTTGTGCTGATGTTTTGGTTTGATGAAGTCGTGAAATTGAGAATCTGCTATTGGCAAATGTGTTTCTTTGTCCTCACTGTGATGGATTGCTTGACCTTTGTCTAGGTCTCGAGAGCTCCAGACTCTTGCTAACTAATTAAAATGCTAGTAACTCTATTGTGCCACAGAAACTTCAGTTAGCTGCTAATTTGCTAGATTGGTGGGCAAGCGGTTGCTTAGATAAAGGTAGAAAAATGTTTCAATGTAATACTGCATCAGACGGGATTTGATTTCTCTGAGGACTTTTGAGTTTGCTGGTAATTTGCTCTGGAGGTTTTGCTAACACAGACATGGCAGATTCGGACAGGATCAATTCACCATCTCAAGTTGTATTTACCACTAGAAAGATCATGATTGGCGGCAACACTCATTAAACGACGATTTCTGCTGTGATTTAGTTATTTATAGGCTTTCCTGATGCTCAAACAGTCGAGCATTGGTGCTTGCAACACCAAGGTCATGGGTTAGATTCAGGGAAAGTGTACCTTGTAATGCAATGCAAGTCGCTTTGGATACAAGCATCTGCTAAATGCATAAACGTAAATGTGAATCAGTCCATTTAAACAAATGGTTTAATGAATGATTCAATGACTCACTCATTAAGAAAGTCAAATGCGTCGTTCGAATGAATCAGCTGAAGTGACTTGAAGTGAGCAGTGCCACCTACTGGTAATTTTAGTTTCTTTCATACTTAAATATCTTTTCCATTTTAAAATAATTTCATAAGTATTATCAGTGTTTTATTTTTAAAACATTATTTTAAAACATCAAAACATCAGCTTCTGTGTTTGCAAAGATTGATTTTGTTGATACTGATTATATTTGAGCCCGTTCTCATCCCAAAGCGCCATATAGGACGCTTTTGCAAAAGCGTAAATATCCAACGCACATGGCACCCTTTAACGTGAAATGAGACGCAGATATATTTGGGCAGAAGGCGCCCCCTAGTGGTCTAACCCTTACCCTACACCATACCTAAACTTAACCATTAACCGAAGCGTCTCATTAGACGTTAAAGGGTGCCATGTGCGTTGGATATTTACGCTTTTGCAAAAGCGTTGTATATGGCGCTTTGGGATGAGAATGCGTTGTATATTTCATTGGTAACAGCCCTGTAGGGTCTTATTATTCTAATACGATTAAATGTAATAATTTGACAGTAAATGATGCATATGCTAAAATTATTGCCCCAATAAAGGTAAAAATGCACATTAAAGGTAAAAATCAATTCAAACTTATTGGAAAATGTAATTTCTGTCACTGCCATGGCGCAAAATTAGGATAACTCAACTTTAGCAGTCAGCTGTCCACGGCAGTCTTAAACCCGAAAAGATACCAGCACCACATACCAGGGAAACACGAGTTTCGAGAAACTAGTCCGGTCTGAACAGAGTATTTGGGGTTTTCCCCATATGAGTTAATATTTAGATTTGTGGTTTAACAGAAGAAAGAACCGAAAGTGTGTGTGTGATGGAGTGTGTGTGTGTGAGAGAGACTCTGTAGGAAATTCCCTTGTGTCTGGCTCAGTCTCTCGGCCTCCTCCAACGCTCCAGGAGCTTTAATAGTCAGACATAAAGATATAAGAGAAGATATGAAGCTGGATGTGGCGTATGGATCTGCTGTCGTTCTCCTGGCTTCACCTCCCCCATCTCAGATCTCACAATGGTCTCTCGCCTCTGGCTGACCTTCATTTGATCACGCTCACATCTGCAAGGAAACGTTTCTCATTAAAGGACAGCAGATGATGATGATGATGATGATGATAAACATACGGTACTGCGTTTTCCGGTGATGCACAACACTTCATTTAAATGTTTTATTTTTAATAATGCACTTTAATAATGTAATAATGTAGTAATCCAATGTCTGCCTTACATCCTGTCTACTTCTTTCCTTCACTTGTTACACAAACAAACAAACACACACACACACACACAGAACGCTGAGCTTATGTTTAATTCTTCTTCTTCCTTTCGTCTCTTCTCATTTGAAGCCAGTCTCCTGGAATAATACCATCACCTCACCATCGTCTCCAGACACGAGGAATGGAGATTCAGATTAAAACATGCACTTCTATTAAACAACAACGGTTTTTAGTTATTATTAAAGTCCCATAATTCCACAATAATTCAATAAATTGTTCTTTCTCATTAGAGCGGCATCGTGAAACATCCACTAATCCTTTATAAACCTTGACAAGGAGTGTGTTGTGCTCATTGGAGATTCACGTTACTCTTTAAGGTGTGTGTGCTACAGGAACGCAACACAAGATCACACACTTCTGATAAACTGCTCACACACACACACACACACACACACACACACACACACTCATACACTCTGCCTCGCCGATGCTGTGATGATCAAGCTCCTCTTTCCTCAGACTCACAGCACTTTAAGGGATAGAGTAGGGAGGATTCTTTAAATGAATGAATAGTTTGCTATTACAGTGTGTGATCTTGTGTTGCGTTCCTGTTGCACACACACCTTATTTTATTATATTTGATTTGTTTGTAAACCTATGGCAATGTTAAATTATTGCCTTTTCCCCCCTCCTTTTTAACATTACACTCAAGGATCACCACCAGTGTAATTTGTGTGTGTGTGTGCGTGTGTGTGTGTGTGTGTGTGTGAGACTATTCTTAAAAAAAATAAAAATAAATAAAAAAAATATATGTATTATTGTTATTATTATTACTTTGGTCGTTTTTTTTTTTTTTTTTTTTTTTTAGGGACTTGTGGGATGGTCCCAGTCGCACAAAGAGAGAAATGTGGAGCAGTTTGGGAAACAACGTCACAATGACTCCATCTTCTGGTGAACACCCAGTACTGGGATTTTAGCAGTCATTCTGCAACTGGTGAAGAGGGTTATTATTATGCTTAAATTATTAAAAAGATTTAAATATAAACCAGCCTGACTGCAAACTTTTGAACGGTATTGTAAATATTCCATGTAGTGTCAACTAATACTAATTCAATAATAATGCAATTGTTAAGAAATCCTGATTATGTTCGGAATTTAATGGTTATATTTT